ATATATTAGTTTATATTATCTATGTATAAATTATAATAACAAGGCAGTTAACTTTAACCAAGATGCAACAATTTTATGTAGTTATGGAGTTTATCTTAAGATTTGTCTAGCTCTTTATTTTAATGCACAGAAAGGGGGTGTCTTGGTGCACAGACGAGGCTACTGATTGCTTTTGTAGCTTGTTTTACTCTCTTAACAGAGTTTTTTTTTTTTTTCCACACACAGTCACACAAGAAATTCACACATTCCCTCCAGGGGGCCCCTTACAAAGCACAATAACAAATTGAGGGCAATCGAAACCCTCACAAATGGCAAAGAGTATAGGGTGACTGAGGGTGCACTCTAGATTTTGCTCAAATTGAGGATATAAATCCTCACGAACGGCAGAGAAGAGAGGGTAATCAGGTCTCCAATCTGTAATCTGCCCAAACATTCAATTAAGAACCAAAACAAAAGCAAAACAGGCTAGGGGTTGCCCAGGGAATCTCACCATTCAGAAGGATATGTCACTCACTCGCCTTCCTGCTGTGGTCTCTGTTCCAGGTTCGAGTGATGTGCTGCCAACCTCCAAGTCCTAGAAAGGGAACCCAGGAAATTCTGGGGCACAGCTCTTCCCTTCCGAGGAGGCAGACATTTGCTCTCTGGTGGGACTCCAGTCAAGGCCCAACATGGGCTGTGTCCATTAACCCTTTCCTTCCGGCCAACACACCAAAGTGTTGCTGAAGGAATTGTAAGTGACACAAAGAGACACAGAATGGAAGTAAAATAATCAACCTTTTGCTGTCAAGATAAACCTTTTATTATTTTACTTCCATTCTACAACTCTCCATGTGTGTTACTTACCAATTCCTTCCACAACAAAAGAACAGAGAAAGAGAGAGACAAGGAAAGAAAAATTCTGCTAAATCCCACTCAGAATTGATAGAGTGAAGGGTAATGTGCTACTAATGTTTTGGAAGAAAAGATTAGTAATTCCAAGTTCAAAACCATTCAGTATATATTTTACATATTATTCATAACTAAAATACTTAAATTAGATGGCAAAGAATTTCAGTAATATTTTGTGGAAATTTTATAGCTTTAGCTTTTATATATAGATCTGTGATTCATTTTGAGTAAATTTTATTATGTGAGATATGAAGATTAAGTTATTTTTTGGCATAGAGATGTCATATGGGACATACATATAAATTTTATGGTATCAATTTAGTTTTTCTCTATATAAATGACTAAACAGTTGCATCAACATGTATGCTGACTGTATTAAATACTTGGTTGTTGATAAACCAACAAATATAGGGAGACATTTGAAATTGTTCTTTTCTATACATAACTTTTTTTTTTTTTTTGGTACCAGGGATCAAACTTGGGACCTTGTGCTAGAAAAGCAGGCAGTAGAAGCACTGAGCTAAACCCCCGGTCCTCTATGCATAACTCTTGAGTAATAACACAGTGGCTGTTCCCACATACAAAACAGTATTCTTCTAAAATAAAAGTCATTTGGCCTCATGTTTTGATTCTTTTTGTTTTAACTTTTTTTCACAGTGTTTCAAAAACTATGTTGTGAGTGGTAAAGCTTGTATTTTCCCCACATTCAATATCCCTTTCAACTCTATTCAAAGGATACATTCATGAGGATTTGCAGAACATGAAGCAATGTTATAGTGCTAGTTTAGAATTGGGATTTACAAGGTGGCCATTTTAAAATCCATTTCTTCCACTGATTTAGAGTTATCAGACTGTCATTGTAGTTTAGTTTCAGTATACGTTTGTATTTTCCCATCCAAGAACTAACCGACCCTGCTTAACTTCGACCCTGCTTAGCTTCCGAGATCCGACGAGAACGGGCGTGCTCAGGGTGGTTTGGCCGTAGACTGTTTATATTTCTATTACCATTTTTTTCTGGGGCGATTTTGTCAAGTTTTAGCAGCTCAGAGTAGAGGGAAAATAGCTAACACTTTGTCTTATACCACCATCTTTTCTAGAGTTGACATTTGCTCTTGTTGGTAGAATGTTCAGAAAAGCTTCAAATCTTCCCTAGCACCTTTAAATGCCTCTTAGTGTTTAACTTTAAGCATAGCAGAAAGTTTTTGTAAACGTTCTTTGTGCTCCACTGGCATCTCTACTTTCAATATATGGGATTTTTTCTACATACGTCATGGATGTTTTTTCTTTACCCACTGGTAGAACAACTTCCATTTACTCTAATCAATCTTGGCTTAATAGATAACTGAAAAAATGTAACAGGTATAATGTACTAACATTAGCAGGTCTTACTGTGCTGTCATTTGGTGCTCATGTCCCGTAATATTTGCTGAATAAATTGAATGCGAATATTTTGTTGAAACAGCTCATACTTGACTAGACCCAATTTGACAAAGGTGTTCAATTTGCTTGTTTACTAAGAATTCATTAGAAGACGGTTTTGAGACATGATTTAATGCATGTAAAATTATTAAAATTGAGGATGAGTAATTGACAGTGTCCTTTAGCTATTATGTACAATTTCATTTTGTTTAAGTGTTAGTAATCTTTCTGCAAAATACAATGGAAGTTTAGTTAGTTTTGTGTCAGAGTCAAGTGCATTGATTACTGTGCTCTAATAAGCATCAAGGCAGTGCCCTGTTAT